GCGTGAATGACGCTCTGTATACGATTTTAACGCCCTATAAGTTCGGACACTTTTTAGCGCGGACCCGACGTCCATATAATTGTAAGTCAATGCTTGCAACCCACTTTAGCATATGTTTTATGTCAATAAATCGGTTGCCATTCAGGACTCGCCTCAGTCGTTCTTAATTAGTTTTTTAAAACCGACTTCAAAAAAGGAGGAGGTTCTCAATTCGATTGTATGTTTTTCTTGTATGTATGTTACGCGATAACTCCGGTGTTTGTGAACCGATTTTCATGATTTTTTTTTTGTTGGAAAGGGGGTACTTCCATAGTGGTCCCATTTCATTTTGAGGGAAATCATCCACCTCTAAGGGTGGCTGTTCACGCATGAAGATTCATTTTTATAAATAGCGTCTAAATTTTCTTAAGGAGCAATTATTTTAATGGTTGATTTTGCTATTTCTCCGATTCAATGCGTTTTTTTCTCGATATTGTTTGAGTATTCGATTCGAGAACGATATCCAATCGAAGAGTTCTGAATCGGGGTCCAGAGACGCTTTCTTACGAGCGTCTCTTGCAAAGAACCGTACCTAATTTATCATCTAGTGGATATACTAAATACGATTTTTTAATTACTTGTACGGTAGCGGAAAAGGCGTATCATGGGCCCTACTCTCGAAGCACGAAATCTTTGAATATCGTCAGAAAATTTTGTTGATATTATCCTGTGTGCAGCGCGACATAACTGTTACGTAAACTGTCACACCTCCCGCACAATGCAGTTACCTCAGGAACCGACTCAGTTAAGCGGCATGCCTGTAACTTAGAACTTTCGTCAACAACTGTCGAGAAATGTCGATGCCACCGCGGTATCAGGTGAACCAAAAGTAGGTACCTTAAGGGCGCATATATTCGATAATTTCATCGCGCTCACCACACGCGGTTGCCAAACGGAGTTCACGTTATCGCCGCGCAGCGACCACTTGCGTCGTAACTGTCATGGCAAAGTAATAAAATTCAGAATCGCCATTAATGTACACGAAAACTTCTCGTGTAACTGGGCGCTAATTGTTATGTGTAGCTTGTTAAACAAGAAGATAAAGACGGAGTTCAAGAAGGCGGCGAACGATGTGCTGGCTGGCCACCTAATGCTGTACGGTGACTTTATGGACTTGACATCAGACGAGCGCAAGTACCTTGAAGTCACTGACCGAGAAGAGGTAGGTAGAGGTACGGTAGTGATACCGCAAACAGGATGCGGTTGAACGTCCTAGCGTTCTGTTTTCACGTTTGGCGTTCTATGTAGATGGTTAATTCCGTTTGAAGATATCACTCGTGCAACAAGCAGGAGTGAAAGCGAGAACGCTTCTTCATGCGAAGCTTCTCTATCTCATTTCCTTTTGTAATGTGCTTTCAAAATTATTATATTTTAAGGAAAAGGTAAGTTCAACTTTTCATAGACGTTTATTTTGCCCTCGGAACGAAGAAGGGCACAACTAAAGTTTTTATCAAAATTGTGTTAGACATACATATTCGGGATCGGAAAAATAAAGGCCAGTCTAACTTTTTCTTGTGGGAATATGAAATATAATTGTTGAATATACAGCGAGCTGAAAAGTGCGTCACTGACTACAATAATCAATAATAACGGCAGTAGACCTCCTTGTGAAAGAGTTTGTCCAGGGAAGTATTGCCACCTTATCTATTTCTGCCGCCAAGCAGTAATGTCGGCTTTACTGTGTTCCGGTTTTGAAAGGTAAGCGTGCTAGTGAAATTACAGGCACATGGGACTTGTCAACTTATGTCTCAGGGTGACGGGCGCAGTGGTAGTGCTCCTCAGATCTTTGCGCTTTGAAGCTCTGAGTGGCACTGCAACTGTTATGGACAGGCGTGTAGCGTCCCGTTACTTGATATTATTTTAAAAAAATCTGATTTTTACTATACTAAACAATTGAATATCAATTCAATAAAAAAATTAATTAATACAGTGAATAGCGACATCTCTCGCCAGGACTGGTAGCTGTAAAGGTACTAACTGAGTGATAAATCTGCAATAGATTTCTCATAGATGGCGCTACGACTAAAAAGTCATTGAAAGACCAAGTACAAAGATACGACACAAGCACATAGAAAGATCATAGAAAGATTCGTGAGGTCAGTTGGTTCGTTTCGTGGCTTAGTTGGTATAGCGTCTGGCACGGTATGCAAGAAGACGTCGGTTCGAATCCGACCGGATCGAAGGAATTTTTTCTGAGTGTTCGATCTTTGTATTAATAATTACATACTGAACAAGTTTATTTAACGTTTATTATACATTAAAAACACTAGGTGTTGTCTAAAGATTTTTCTTGGTAATGTACGGAACTGTGCCCTTATTATGTAGTTCAATTACATCACAAAAAAGGCACAACTGACAATTGTGCCCTTTAGTTTTATTCGTGAGTAGTTTAGTCACATTTCAATTAGTTATATTATGTACGCAGTTACAAATTTTTTTCTTTGTACTAAGGGAAGAGAAAAATTACCCGCTATAAATTAAAGATTAAAATACAATTAACGTTTCTGTATAAGACATATGGTATGTATTAATATAAAATAAAAAAAAAATAAAAAAGTGGTTAAAATATACAACATTTTTTTTTATCAGAAGAACCTAAAAAACTTTACAAACACATTTACGAATTTAGAATTCTCGGTTTGTGCCTTCCTTGCTTCCGAAGTCAATATTGTAATAACATATCCAGTTTCCCAAGAAAGATTGAAGTGTCCATCCTTCCAACATACATTGCAAGGTATTATCACATTTTGTACCATAAACTTACCTCATAGAAAAGTAAAAATGTGGACGAAAATCGTTTAAGCCCAACAAGACGGCTACTTACTTACCTTTAAATATAATTTTTTTTATGATAGATACCAAGTGACAATACAAATATAGTGCGTAGACTGGGTTGTTCTTCAAAAGGGGCAAAAAACGTCTTCCGGTCAATTATTTTAATATACTAAAATTTCATGACACAATTAATAAGCTTTTTATATATATTTACCATTATTTTACATGTTACCCAGTTTAAAAAATACATCTTTGGTTTAATTTATGAAAAAAAAATCAAAAATGTCGCTAAACGTCATTGTACTCCTATTCCTATGACGTCTCTTAACACAACATTTGTTCACAAATAATTTATTAAATACTTATACATTCTAAAAATTTTATGAATGAAAGTTTAATAAATTAACCTTCGTTTAAAATAAAAACCTCTTCAAATACTTTGCATGGTTAACTTAAACTTCAATTCAAATTATTGCTACAAGAAAAACGTCATTTGTCGCAGTAACGTTGTTAAATCTTATTATTGAACGACGCATTTTCGAACGCATCTTTAATACACCTTCCCGGGTGTGCGGGAGGGGCCTTCAGTCGGCGGAGACCTATTGGTGAACGAGCACGTGCGGGTCTGAGAGCTGTAAGTAATTTTTTATAGTTCTTCACATTTTGTCATTAAAAATATCATTTGTGTTTCAACCTAAACTCCTTAAATGCACATACGTAATATTTTCGTTTGTATTTTATTCAATAGCCAGTGGCAAATGAATTCATTTAGTCTAATCATAACGGTTTTTTAATGCTCACAGACAAGTCCATACAGGTTTTTTCCTCAACTCGTCATTCTATGCTACATCATTGTCGGCACTTATCCGATTCGCCGTCATCGCAATACCGGAATAAATATATGTTTTATATTATCAGTCAATTGTCGTCCCAACACAGTAATATAACTAGAATAACCTGGAATTATTCTGAAGCTGGGCACGGAAAGGGTGCTCCTGATGGCGTTGGTGGTACAATAAAAAGAGTAGCAGATCAAATGGTGCATTTTGGTTCAGATGTTGGAAATTTTGATGAGTTTTACAAAATCATGGAATCAAGATTAGAAAATATTATAATTCAAAGAGTTTCAGAGCAAGACATAATTCAGAGGGAGAGATTGATTCCTGAGCAGTTGAAACCATTCAGGGGCACCCTTTCTGTACATCAGGTTCTTTGGGACGCGTTCAGACCTAAAATCACTATGAGAAATATGAGTTGCTTCCTATGTGATGCTGGTGAAATTTGCTCCCATGGTAAGCATCTGGGTTATATCAATAATAAGTCCTTTAGAAATCAGAACGACGATCTTGATTCTTGTGTAACTCCCCTGGCAAACACTAAGCGTAAATCTCAAAATCAAAACAAAATTCAGATTATTTCTAATGTTCTTATTGATGTCACTAATAAGACTCAGCTTCAGTGAAAATTGACCCATTTTGATTATTCCAATTTAGTTGATAATAATTGCGATTGGAATTAAGATGATAATACGTGATATTTTTTGCGTGAAATCTTTTGAATCCTAAAATTGTAAGTAAAAGTATACTATTTGAAACTTAATATTTGTCTATCCTGTGTGTAGATCAAGGATATTACGGGGATGAGGACGCAATGCGGATGCAGATATGAATATTTTTAAGAGATATACATCACGTAGCTAAAATATGTGGAACTCTCTTAATAATTATGTCCTTAATTGAAGAAGTTAATCTGTGATTTTTTTAAATAATTACCAAATTACTATTACCAAAGAAAAACTAAATCCCGTATTACAGAACATAGCTCAATACTAAAGCATTACTTAAAACTAGATTCAAGCCAGTTGATTGGTTGAAACTATTTTTTTTATTTCATCAGTACTCAAGAATTACTTAAAAGTAGATCCAAGCCAGTTGATTTCTTGAAACTATTTTTTTTTTATTTGATTAATACTCAAGCATTACTTAAAATTAGATTCAAACCAGTTGATTGGTTGAAACTATTTTTAAGTAACGCTTGAGTCTTGGTAGACGTTCTATAATACGAGACTGAGTCCTTTATTAGCTAGATGATTAAGTTATTTGAGTGTGACAGTTTGTTTTTAAGAAATATCTAAGTACCTACTTAGCTTCACAGTTACGTATTTATCGCCTCACGCTAATAATTTAAGATTGTCATTTACTTTGAATCCTTTGTTTAATAAATAAATATTATATAATATACTTAATAAATATTTTGATTACTTAAATGTTTTTTTATTGTTAAATACCCAAAAATGAAAGATTTTAGATCATTGTCTGCAACACGGCGTCATTATTATACAAGCTAAAGTCATTCTCAGTGCGTGGTGTCATTAGTATCAACGTGAATAATTAGAAATTTACAAATATTACGAAGAATAATGAAAATTAATACGTGCCTTTCATAAAATAATCTTTTAGAGTATGCTTACATTGCATTTAGCTTGATAAAAATAGCTTACATAAAGGTTCTAAAAAATATATGAAAACTTAACAAAAATAATTTATTTCGAAGAACAACCCGACTACAAAGAACTAAACCTTTTTAATTGTTTTAGTTATTTCATAGTGAATAAAATAAATATTACTACCAGTGTTAATAAGACAATAAACACAAGAACTAAATGTCTTCCCCTTAACTACTACAAAAGATATTATGCCATTGGACAATTGCTTTGGTTACTTTTATTTGAGGAAATTATGTTAAATTAAAATTGCAGACACCCCGATACATAAGTTGGCAAGTCCCATGTCCCTGTAATTTCACCAGCACCCTTACCTTTCAAAACCGAAACCCAGTATTGCTCACATTTCTGCATGGCGATAGAAATAGGTAAAAAAGAAAGATTTCAAGAAATCAGAAACCCTAATACAATGTACGATAATCATAAATAGGTAATTGAAAAGACGTGGAGTTTATCTTGTGATAAATAAATGGATGTTCTTATTGATACAGTTGCAAGTGATCTTGGACCGCTACCTAGAAGACTACAACTTGGCAACGACAGTACCTTTAGATCTGGTGCTGTTCGACGACGCCATCGCGCACTTATGCCGCATCTCACGAATCATGCGCCAGCCCATGGCCAACGCGCTGCTACTTGGCATGGGCGGCTCTGGTAAGGCTGGTGTTTTATAGTGCACATTAGATTCACGGCCGCATTTTGGAAGCTTAGCCACATCTTCAGGTCGTCAATCCCACAAAGCCTAAAAACAAGGCATTTAACCAATGCGTTCTACCAGTTATGTGCTACACAGCCGAGACTGGAATGGCGACCGCGTCAAGGAAAACGTAGTGTAGGACGTTCTGCGGCAAGATGGACGGACGACCTAAGCAAGGTGGCCGGCAGTGGCTGGATGCGGGCGGCACAAGACCGGGAAAGTTGGCGTGCGCTAGTGGAGGCTTATGTCCAGCAGTGGATGCGTGTAAGCTGATGATGAATTAGATTCATCGAAGGCTTGATTATCCCATCATTACGGCACGTTTATCCTCTAAGACTCAATTTATATTGCGGCGGAATGGACGGGAAGCGAATTTTTCTATCGATATTATTTCGCTTCCATTCCATTTCGCCGTAGTATAAATTTAGCCTAAGGAGAGAGCCTATGCCACGCTTAACGCAATGGGGGCCACGCTTAACGTTTTCCAATTATAAGCTTTCTTCGCATGTAAGTCGTTTTATTATTATGTTTTTCTTCACCACTTGCGTGCCATTACTAAACATTTACAATCCTCAACCCATTTAGGCTCAAAATACAAAACTGCAATGCGACGTCACATCGCACAAATCTACAAGCTCGCACGACGCATCGCAAGAATTTGCGAATTGCTTCGCGTCGCGCATTCCTGCGATGTTAATCTTCTTTGTCTTTTTTTCCTGTACTTTCTTATCAATAACTGCAGTGCAACACACTTTTTACGATCCATGTCGCCTACCTGGCTTAAAAAAAAAAGTTCAGTGGCAGTGAGAAGCTTGGCCGCACGAAATCGCAGCGCAGTTTTCTGCGCTGCAAATTCGCATCGCGCCGATTCGCAGTGTTGTGTTTCGACCCTTATACGTCCCACTGCTAGGCACCGGTCTCCTCTCTGGCGAGGGTTTAGGCCATAGTCCGCCACGCTGGGGCAAAGCGGCCCAACCCGCTTTGTGACGGACTTCACATGTTTTTTGAGGTTTACGAGCCTTCGTCGACATCCAGGTTTTGTCACGACGTTTTCCTTCATAGTAAATCTGAGAAGCTAGAAGATGCGAGGCCGGATTCGAACCCACGGCCTCTGCTTGAGAGGCGATAGATCAAACCACTAGGTAATTAAATGCTGACTGCTCTTCATAGGCCGAGCCTTAGTGTGTTCATTTCAAACTGTTATCACTACCACAATTTCAATATGTTTCCCTGAAATTCGTGCATTTTGTTCAATAGAAGTTTCAAATTACTACTAAATGATTTGAAACCAACTTAAAAATTACCAGTGATTAGTTATTTATAAAACTGTGTCGTCCCTAATGATTTTCTTCTTGGGCGGCATGTCCTTGTCCAGCGCAAGACTCGTCCCCGAAGAAACCCTGTTTGACACTTGACGTATTTGTAGGTCGTCAGTCGCTATCCCGCCTAGCTGCATTCATGGCGGAGCATACGTGTATGCAAATAGAAATAACAAAGGCGTACGGCATGAGTGAGTGGCGTGATGACCTAAAGAGCACCATGATGAAGGCTGGAGTGGAAAACCGCGGCATCGTCTTTCTCTTCTCTGATGCTCAGGTAAACAAACACGTTAGGAAACCACCACACATATCCACACTTCCTTCGCTTCCGCTCGGATCGCCGATACAAAGCGCCCATCGTTTTTATCACTCTTTATTACCTGGCCCTGTATTCTCGTACTCCGTCCGAAACAATTACTGTCAAATAAGTAATAGGTACTCGACCAAATTCAAAGGACGCATGATGCGAATGAAGCTTCATACTTGACATTGTGTTTTCATTTGGTCGAGTATTACGGACGAAGAGTAGACCTCCTGAACATTAAGCATTTTCTTTGAAATATCACCATCGAAATACCACAGGTCTTTGACCAGCGATGACTTACGGCACTGAGACGTGGTCGCTCACTATGGGCTCAAGGTCATCCAGAGGGCAGTGGACAGGACTATGTTCGGACTTTCACTGCGAGATCAAATCAAACATGAGAATAACCCCAAGAGAACCATAAATTATATCTAATATTAATGCAAACCACCCTAACAGAACGTTAGTTTTGTTTGAAAAAAACTAATATAGATACGCGATTTAGATTCAAAAACAGTTTGATTTCCAATTTGTAATAATAGTAAAAATCTAAAAGCTCTATGTGTAAGCGACAATGTTATAGAAATAAAAAAAACAAAGGGACAGTATATAATTCGTCCACATTTTCTGTATTTTGTAACCAAAACAGTTGAATCAATTTAGATGCGGTTATTATATATTTATTGGTAAAAGTTTTAAAAGGATTCATCACAGATGGTTCTCAAAAATACTATAGTTTGCACATGCAAAAGCTTTATTTTAAAGCACACAAAATATTCTGCCCTGAAGTCGATGTGCGACTTCGTACGGGTCACAATCGAACGTTACGCTTCACCCTGAGATTGAAAGCAAGAGACTCAGAGATAGGGAGATGCGATCACCGCTCTGAGTCGTAGTAGATTCAACAGATGTCCATTTCCATCCAACGAGGCAACGTTACCAGTATAACGGAAACTTTTGAGCCAGGCACGATGCAGGGCGGGATTATTATTATTACTAGTAACAGTAGAGCTCTTTCTGAAATAGTTCGTCCAGGGAAGTACCTTGTGTGTTAGCAGTACCTTACCTATTTCTACCGTCAAGCAGTAATGTGAGCATTACTGCGTTACGGTTTTGAAGGATAAGGGCGCTGGTGAAATTACAGGCACACGGGACTTTTCATCTTAAGTCTCGAGGTGTCGTGCGCAGTGGCATTGCCCCTCAAATCTTTGCAATTTAAAGCTCTGATTGGCAATGCAACTGTTACGGATAGGTGTGTCACTAACCATCAGACGCACGACTTGTTCGTCCTGTCACATCGTGCCAATAAAAAATTTCTCAACCGTTAATTAGTCAACCGTGACCATGGGACCTGTAAAGGGCCCGAAACGTCGGTTTGTTTGAAAAAACAAATATACGCGATTTAAATCCGGAAAAATAGTTTCATTTCCTAAATAAAAAATATTTTAGGTCATTCTAATGATATCTCTTGTAAATCCCGGTTTACAATTGGTGCATAATTACATTTTTTTTTTACTTTTTTACAAATTATAAATTCTACTCTGCTGTCTTATTTATTGGTTTTTTTTTTTTTTTTTTTCCTCTTCTGTGGTGATAATATATTTATTTGTATGTATTATATTAGTATTTAAGTATTTATGTAATTTATATGTTAGTAGATATTTATTATTTATTTCATTCATATATTATGATGTTTAATAATAATATCATATTTATTGCGCCCTCTATTATTATTACTACTTTTAGTTTATCCTATCACCCCAAGGTTGCCTGGCAGAGATTGCTATTTAGCAATAAGGCCGCCTGTTGTACACTGTATTTTTTATTGTATTGTATTTTTGGTTGTTTATTGTGCAATAAAGAATATTGAATTGAATTGAATTTTTGCATTTCAAAAGTAACTATATTTCATTACATAACAGATAAAAATGGAATCCTTCCTAGAAGATCTAAACAACATCTTGAGTTCGGGCGATGTCCCCAACATCTACGAGTTGGAAGACTTCGACAAGATCTATCAAGCGGTGAGGCATGCTGTGATGGAAATGAATCTTCCCGCCACAAAGAACAACTTGTTTTCTTGCTACCAGAGGAGAGTGCGCAGCAACTTGCATATTGTTGTCGTTATGAGTCCTATTGGTGAGGTAAGCACAAAATTAATGTCTTTTCTTAAGGTTCTTCCAATTACCAGAAACCTCCGAACAAGGAAGTTCTGTTATGAAATAACTCCGATACAAAACAGTGTATCCCCAAAAGTCAATACAATCACCATCTGCAAGATAACAATTAGTCTATACCTGTTTAATGAGCCGAAACCTAGAGTTTCTTGCTCATCCCCTAGAGTTTCTTGCTCATCCCCTAGAGTTTCTTGCTCATTCTTCTCAGGGGAATCTGCCTTACGAATGAGCGGTAGAGTTTAATATTGTGACGATTTCAAGTGTAATAATGCTTACCTATGAAATAAAGATTATTTTGAATTTGAATTTGAATTTGAAACACTTAGTTCTACAGGTTTTTCTTTTATAATACAATGACGAGACGAACAAGTCGTGCGCCTGACGGTAAGCTACACGCCTGTCCAAAACAGTTGCAGTGTCACTCAGAACTTCAAATTGCAAAGACGGCCTGGCACCGCCACTGCGCCCGTTACCTGAGACATAAATTGACAAGTTCCTTGTGCCTGTAATTTCACCAACACCAGAACGCAACGCGCTATAGCTCAAATTACTGCTTGGCGGCAGAAATAGGTAAGAAGGCAGTACTTCTCTTGACGAACTCTAGGAGCTCTACTGCTGGTGAATATTTGCAGAGACTGGAGCCCAAACTAGGACACCCTATAATTTTGTATACCCTATGGTTATGTTTGTTTTTGGTCAAGTGCTTGTACGCTCCTAGAGTCACCTACTCAACTACGTAATCATCGGTGCTACATAGTTGAGTAAACAGAAGGTTCACAAGACTTGGAAGGCGTGTGTTGGAAGTCCTAACCAGCAGTAAACAGTTCAAAATGGGTTAATGATGTTTGTTACTACAGATATTCCGGGCACGCCTGCGCCAGTTCCCGTCACTAGTGAACTGCTGCACTATCGATTGGTTCAGCGAGTGGCCCAAGACCGCGCTAGAGTCAGTCGCTGAACATTTCTTCACCTATATGGAGGATCTCGACACTTCCGACGAAATCATTAACTCTATGGTGGCAAGTATTTACTAAAATTGCTAAAAGAATATCAAAACTAAATTCAAAAAAGGAAAAACAAAAAGTACTTGCGTGTGTCACACTCAGGAGATGGATCGAACTGGACTGGTATGTGTCTCATATAGGTGCACTGTGAAACTAGAATCAGTAGATTTACGATTTTAGTATACCTATACCTACTACTCTCCTTGTCATAACTAACGCATTTATGTTTCGGTAACTACCCGCGATGCGCTCATACTACCGCAAAATGGTGGCTATTTGGTTTCGCAAATTAGAAAAGGGTTCAGTTTAAATATATGACGGCGCAACATTGTGGCGCCCTCTATCGGAACAAGAGTGAATCGCTTGGCCATTCACTCTAGCGAAACGTCGTCTGTCAGTGGCAGCGGGGCGGCCATCTTAACGTGTCATTCGTTCGGGTGATAGCCGCCTGCGCACCGTGTCTGCGACGGATCGCTATATTTCCAGACAATCAGTGCCTTTTTGTTTAAATTAATAATTGATTCCGTTTTATAATAATCCTAAGCAGTTAGTAGTGAAGTTATTTTGTTTTAAAATTAAAGAACGTGTGATTAATTGACAATTTAATTATTTCTATTTTCCACGCCCGGTGATACATGCCTAACATGATGAATGGCTCTGATGAAGGCCCTCCTGAGCCTTTATATATATATTAATAGTTTTTATAAATAAAAATTATTATTCTGCATTGCTAAATAAATACCCTCGGTACTACAACAAAAACATCTCAAATAAAATGCAGTAATACACCGCAAATTCTGCACTTAAAAAACACTAATGAAATTTTTGGTGTACTTGGGTAAATATGATAATATTCCGTTTGAGTGGTTCTAATGTTTACCATGAAATTACTCCTTAAAGTATAGTTTATAAACATTTATATTCAGGGTAAACTTAAAAAACGCAACTTACGGTATGTTTTCAATAAATAAACACCGACATCACCAGCCCAAACAATATCACACAATATTGTCGTGACGTATTTTTGAAGTTGTTTATTTTTTTTTAAATGACAGACCCAGGCATTAAAAACTTTATGATTTGCTAGAGTAGTTACCGAAATAGCAATTAGTATTAGTTCTTTTACCTGTTATAACTTCGATATCCGATAAATCGGTATAAAATCATTACCGTCACCTCTAGGTGTGGTATGCTTCCAGAGACGCATGAATCGCGTGAGCGGCTACCGAGATATTTCTCACCTAATGCTATTTTTTTTTCGAGTAAAAAATGTCAGTTGCAAATTTTACTTAACAATAAAACTGAAACTAATTTAATAAACCGCCTATGGGGGTTATAGATCTTTTGCTGATTCGAGAATTTTCTCTAAAAACATCGAGTATACATATAACCAGAAATAGAGACGAAATAAGGCCATCCATCCCTGGCAACTCATCAGGCAAATGGGCCTTATATCACTTTTAAATATCAACTCTCGTTTGCTCTAAAATCACAAATTGGAACGCTGAAACAGTACAGCGCCAACAACTAACCTGTGTGTACGTCTCCGTATATTCGAAAAATATTCTGTATTTATTGTAATAAAAATAATAATCTCTAACAATGGGGGGCTGGTCCATTCGTTGGTGTGGGAAAAACAGTAAAACATCTAGTTATAAAACAACCGGAATCACATTTCAACGGTAACTAAGTATAAAATATGTAATTTTGCAATTTTCGTCCATTATAGCAAAGCTCAAGTTAAACTGGCCGATTTGAAGTGAAACAATTGACGACACCCGTTCGCATTTGGGCTGGCCAATCGGAGCGTAGTTGTCACCGTAATGATATGGCAGAATAGTTTTCAAACAAATTAAATGATATTTCGTCTCTATTACTCGACAGCTAAAAATGTCAATTACGATACAAGACAGCGTAGTCGGGTATTTTATATATATTTTTTTATTTATTCCGGATATTCCACATAGAAAAGCACTACACATTAAATATCCAACATAATAGCTTAAAACTAAGTGCTCGACTGCGGATATCCACAGTCAAGATCGACTGTTGTTCGATTTTATATTTCCGAAACAAAATAATAAATACATAAAAAATCTGAAAACACCTTTATATAGGCCTTTTGAATAACGAAATTATGTTTTAACCACTTTTCGCTGTATAATCACATCGGACTCTGTTCTTCGGATGAGTCGATTTCTAGCCATCTAATTGATTTGTTTGTTATAAAAACAAACAAATCAATTAGATGGCGCGTATTGCACAGATTTTTATGGATAGTGCTAGCTATCCTTTTATTTTGTTTAGGGTTGGCGCCATCTACCCATATTAGGAAGCCTTAACTTATAAATTTATTTTTAGTACACAATGCCATCCATTGACATTGCATATTTGTCAAAGTTCAGAAAATAATGTTAACACATGATTAATATTTGTATAATATAACAAGGAACAAAAAAACGGACTTCATATATTACATATTGAAGAGGAAATGATTGATATCCACGGCGCCATCTAGTTTAAAGACTGAATTTTGACCTTTTTCAGAGTTACGGTCTACAGTATGGAGATTGACAGTGCTATTGAGTTTTTGATCCATCCTTATGATAAGGGGAGTAGTATAGCCGCGGAACTGAAATTGTACTATATTATTATGTATATTATGTCAATTGGGCAACGTAGAAACTAGATACGATACGGAATGGTATAGTGTGACGGGCTGGTGTCCCCATGTCGACGAAACGGTAACTGCGCAGCGGGAATACAAAACTGCGCGAGATTTTTTTTTTATAAAACCATGACAAGTCGTGAGTGTAGTTTGAACAGAGTTTGAAATCGTAAAGATCTGAGGGGCTCTACTCTACCACTCGCCCGTCACTCTGAGACATAGGTTGACAAGTCCCATGTGCCTGTAATTTCACCAGCACCCTTACCCTTCAAAATCGGAAAGCAGTAATACTGACATTACTGCTTGGCGGTAATAAATAAGGTGACAGTACTTCCCTCGACGAATTCTTTCACAAGAATCTCTACTAGTACTAAAATGTATACGCTGTTTACGGTAGTTTTGTAAAAATAATATAAAAATTATGACGAACGACACCAATGTCCAGTAAGGGCGCGTTCCCATTATGTCCACGTTTTATTTATCGTTGGACGACTGTCGCGTTTTTTTACCCGATAAATATCCGTCTAAGGATAAATATCCGTTTTTACTGAGTATTTAGCCTAAAACATGGATAATTATTTTTTTGTGTGGTTTATAATAAAATTCATTAGAATTCATTTTTTATTAAATAATTAAGTTTTTGCCATTCTTTTATGTAATAATACTGTTTTAGTACCTACGTTTTTCGAGACGAGTGGTATAAAAAATTCGATTGACAGAAAGTTATCAAATGAACTGTAACCCTTGAGCTGACCTATTCTGCGTTAATAAAGTGCGACCCAACTTTATGGTCTTGGGGTCTACTACTTACTAAATAAAGTCATGTTTGGACTTGAAATAGCGTAAGGATTCTCTTTCACATTTTACACACAAAATCTATTAATTAAAGACATAAAAATAAAATATTGATAATTGTGTAGGTACACAAAGTGTTTTAAAAATATGCTTTTACTAAATATGAATAATAAACCATGATTTAAAATATTTATCCACGTTTTTGGATAAACATTGAGTAAAAATGGATATTTATCCTGAGTATTTATCCCAATGATATTTATCCATTTCCATCTCTAGTCGTGACTGTGTCGTGGACATTTATTTTATCGTTGAACGACTATCTAGCTGTTTCCACTAGATCGTGGCGACAATTCATCGACTTGCACAACAGAATAGTTTGAACTTGCGAGTTGAGTCTGTCGTCACATTCTTAAAATGACGTTTTAATCATAATCTGACGACGGTCGTTCTAGCTCTTCGCATTGTCACGACATTCTGTCCTAGTATTTCATTTAAATATACAAGCTACGACAATTTAAACTGCACGACTATCTATCGTCACGACGTAATGGGAACGCGCCCTTAAAGAAAAATCCGTTACTATTATTGTCACTGTCGTTGTTATTGTTATTATTAATGAGACTGTTGCCTCCATCTTTCCTCAGTCGGTGTGCTGCTACGTCCACGAGAGTGTCGTGAACGCAAGCATTAAGTTCCTGCAGCAACTGAACCGGCTTAACTACGTAACGCCGATGTCATACATGGAGATGCTCGGGGCATACAAGGACATGTTCAAAAAGAAACAGACGGCTATTCTTACGGAGTCCAATGCGCTTACTACTGGTACTACTTTACTTTATGACTTTTAACTTATTTTAAATTTAATATTTACCATGATTGATGATGTACCTGGCAGAAAAGTTGTCTTGGCGTGACCATGGGAGATATGGTGCTCGTTCGACGGGTTGGGTATTGCAGATCCCTCCGCACCGCACTTCTGCTTTTCGTGGGAGTTTTAGATACGCAGCCTCGAAGTGCTGGAATAACTTGCCGCCGCCTATGAGGGAAGTAAAGTCTGTCTTTTCTTTTAAAAGCAAAATAAAACAACTATTAACATCATACCAGGCCGAGTTGTCCGTGGGCGGCCGGGGTGTTCCAGCATTTTCGAGGTAAAAGGTTCGCTGATAGGGTATAGCTCTGTAATTTCATATCATTTAAATATAAGTATTATGTCATTTTCGCTAATATATCTTATTTATATTTATATATATTTATTTGAATATTATATGATAGTAATAGTAAAAAGAAAGCACTAATATTTCTAATTTATTTTTTATTCTTTTCTTTTTAATGAATTTCTGGCGTCCAGCTCTACGGGCTTACTGAAAATCAGCGCTGTGGTAAAGCTACTGCAGCATATGCTGAGATAAGTCCCGTGTGGCATGACGCTACAACACAAGCCATACTACTGTCTACTGTGCATCATTGTTTTAGTTTTACTTGTAATTATAAGTCATATACCTACTTATTTGTATGTAAACTGTTTTAGTGTGGTTTTGTGTTGTTGTATTCGTGCCAATAAAAGTACGTCTATGTCTATGTCTATGTTATTCTGTGAAGGGAAACATAGTGAAGAAATCTACACATCGCACCCCTTATGGTTGAATGGCATAAGTCGAGTTACGTCAAACATGTTTGTTGCTCCATCAGATACAGAAAAAAAAAACCCACATCCTAACTCTATCTACAATATTAGCCGCTAGAATTACAAGAATTACAGAGGATGTGGGTTATATTTTTCTGTATCAACGGAGCAATAAACGTTTTTGACGTAACTCCACTTATGCCATTCTTCCAGGAGGGGTGTGACACGTCTGTAAAGCAATTTAAAGATGTGTGTGAAGTTCCCAATCCGAGTTGGGTTCGCGTGGGTACTACAACACAAGCCTTCTCATTGTGGCATGAGGCCAGTGCCCAGACTATATAAATAAAATAAAAATAACTTATTTCAGATGTCTATGATCCATATTTTCAAATTATAAAATTAGTTAATCCCTTCAAAATTAATCACTTTACACAACTCAAAGTAAAAATAACATCAAAATTAAAAATTAAAATCTAAATTACAATTTAAAATAAGATAAAATAATAACTACAAAAACATTAAAAATAAACTAAGTTATCAAATTCATCCTTTTCCTATATGCAGTCGAATAAAATGCCGCAATAAGGGCCAGTTAAAACAGTCGACTATACAGGGTGTAACAGAAAGGTGTGGTCATATTTGAAGGTCGGATTCAGTTAATGGTATGAAACTAGTTAGCAGAGTTGTTTTAGTGCACACTACGTTATTTATGGAAATTTCGCCATGAACAGTTTCGATCAGCTGATGTCATTTAACGAAAATAAATAGTCACATCACATCTCTATTGAGTATCATAATACAACCAAATTACGTAACTTGAAAAAATTGTGAAATTCAGGCATGTTATTGTAAATGATAAAGTACTTAATGCCATATTCTTATTACTATGTTATAATTTACTAAATTTATTATTATTTTGTTAATGTAATATGCGTGTGAACATTTAATGAAAAATAAATATTATCGATTACTTTGCCAAAATACACTACTTCATAACAAAACTATTATTTAAAACTACAGTACATAATAACGTAATATGGTTTCGTTAACTTCATATCTTCAAACATACAAAATACACAAATTTCCATTTAATATCCATTAATAAAAGTAATGTCCTCTAAAAAACACATATTTAAAGTTATCTCTTTTCTTTTTACCATATCATATGTAATAATACGCATTCATCTATTGTATTTTAATGAATGAAATTTGTCTCTTTCTATCCGCCGGTACTGTTCTAACGCATGGCGGCTAGCGAATCAGTCGGTATGTTTCTTCTAACGCATGACGCAATATGACGCAATCATCCGACTAATACTTCGCACCCTTACAATGAAAGTGACCCAAATCAAAAAATTTAAAAATGAGTTTATACCGTAAAACCATCTTAAAAAAATATTTTGTTACATTAGTCACACTGTGGTGAAGATGAAATTGTGCAATTAAAGCTCGAATAGCACTGATTCATAAAGGTCCCTTTCATTTTGTTCTTTCAGTTTAAAAATTCTACTCCCGCGTCGAGATATTAACGCCGCATTTATTGTTGAATCTGCATTTGCAAAGACAACACGCTGCCACTGACGGATTAGCATTTGAGCCATTTTCGTTCCGAAAATCATATTCAACAATCTCTAGTAACAGTAGAGCTCCTTGTGAGTTCGTCCAGGGTAGTACTGCCACTTTACCGTGTTACAGTTTTGAAGGGTAAGGGTGCTGGTGAAATTACAGGCACATGGGACTTGTCAACTATGTCTCAGAGAGATGGACGCCGTAACAGTAACCTTCGAGCGGCAGTGCTACTGTTATGGACATGCGTGATGCTATCCACCGGGTACACGACTTGTTCGACCCGTCGCTTAATATTTAAAAAAAAATATTTTTTTTTATTAACTTACTTTTTAAAGGGACTGACTTTTTTGTTTCGTGGACTTTCTTCTTTTTTAATTGTGAAATAGGGATCACAAAACAATATCAAGGGTTATGACATCTTGCTTAGCTGATGAACATTAAAAAGACTTAATTCTTAATACGTTAAATGATAACAAAAAATCGTTAAAAAAAGACCTATTGGCGACTAGTTTTTGTAAATTATGTTTTTAAATTGTTGAACATTAAAATCATCAGAAACAATTTTCAGTTGTAAAGTTCCATTTTTCCTCATTATTTTCAAAGACTAATAAGGCCATCACCTTTAGTACTTCAAGAGTAATAAATAAAATAATATGAAAATGTCACAACTTGAATCTTATTTTGCGTATTCCCAAAAAGTTGAAATTTTGTATTGGGACACTTTCATCGTAAAGGTGCAACCTGAAGGTCGGCAAACGTCAAGAAATTAGTTTTGATCGTTGACCACGAATTAATTATTATAATTTTCATCACTTGCTTGGAAATGAAAATATCGTGAGAAAACTTGGATTTCGGAGATAATTGCCGAAATCTTCAAAGATGCGAAAATGTCAAGTCTCCAACTAGTACTTACTATAATAATAATAATAATAATAACGCACACACTCAACATAGCCCCGCACTAGGGAAACCCTGTGTCGCGGGTGCCATGGACACACATAGACAACCACAAATTACACCCAAACTCACGAGAGAAATAAATGTAGGCCATACAAATATTTCTCCCGGCCCGGGAAT